CACCAAATTGTGACAAATTTCTGACTCGATTTTTAAGAAAACAATTCCCCGAAATTGTTTTACACACACTCGAAACTAAAGAATTTATCATTTGTATTCTGTTCGTACACGAATAATAATTATATATGTATATAATCGATGAAAGTTATGAATATTAATGATTTTCGAGGTTAATTCCACCATGGAATGATTCTGACAAGAATCTGACAGGAATCCAACTTGTTGAATTGGAATGGTGGCGGAGTCTGGTGAGAAAATAATGGGAATGGTTCGGATAAATGCTTAAACAAGGTTTGGATAAATGATTATTATATATATATATATATATATATATATATATAATATACCATATATATGCTAACTAACGCAAACACTCTAATATATACAAAATAAAAATAATAAATATAAATACACTGATGTAAATAATAAATATGAAAACACTAAAGAATCGGGATGTTTTACTACATTTTTTTCAAATATCTTGAAAACTTTGTACCGGATACTCTTTTTCTATTTGCTTAGCAGAAACTAGATAAAAATTTACTACAAATCCATATAAATAAATATATACAGTCCGATATAAAAGTTTTGAATAAAACGACTTTGAATTCGATATTACATTCTTAAGCAATAAATATAGAAAATTTGGGACATTTTTTTGGTTTTTGTCAAATAACTTAAAGATTTTATATCAAATTGAGTTAGATAGGGTAAAATTAGATAAAATTTACAACATTTCCTATAAAATACTTTTATACAGTCCGATATAAAAGTTTTGAATAAAACTTTGAAATCTTTTTTTTTGTAAGTGCAATAGAAAATTTGGGACATCTTTCTACATTTTTAGCAAATATCTCGAAAACTTTGTGCTCTGGACTTTTTTTTATTGGCTTAGCAAAAACTAGATAAAATTCACTTCAGATTCATCTCAAAATTTGTATTTGTATTCTTCAATATAAAAGTTTTGAATAAAACATGATTGAATTTGATAAAAACGAGTTTGAATCTGATTCATACTATTATTAATAGAAAATTTGGAACATTTTTCTACAAACTCCAAAAATAATTCAAAAACTTTGTCTTTTTCAATTAGCAGAAACTAGATAAAATTTACTAACAAGCCATATCCAAAATTTTATATACTTCAGTATAAAAGTTTTGAATAAAACATGATTGAATTTGAAAATACGAGTTTGAATCGGATTCATGCTATTATTAATAGAAAATTTGGGACATTTTTCTACAAATTCCAAAAATAACTCAAAAACTTTGTCTTTTTCAATTAGCTTTGCAGAAACTAGATAAAATTTACTAATGATCCATATAAAAATTTTTATATATTTCAGTATGAAAACTTTGAATAAAACGACTTTGAATTTGGTTTTATGTTGTGTACATGTTTTCTATAGAATAATTGGGATATTTTGGAACATTTTTTTAAATAGTTCGAAAACTTTGCACCTGGCACACTATTAGCTTAAGCAAAAACTAGATAAAATGCATTTTAAATCCATATAAAGAAATATATACAGTTCGATATAAATGTTTTGAATAAAACGACTTTGAATTCGATTTCATCATTCTTTAGCAATAAATAGAAAATTCGGGATATTTTTTTGGTTTTTGTTACATAATTTTATATGAAACCACCACTTTTCAGTTAGATAGAACGAAACTTGATAAAATTTACAACATTTTCATTAAAACAGTTATATACACTCCAAAATAAAAGTTTTTAATAATACGACTTCGAAATCAATTTTTTGATGGAAAATTGGGGACATTTTTCTACATTTTTGCAAATATTAGGTTGTCAAATATCTCCCTTCCGCTTTTTTGCTCTTGGTTTAATACAAAAAGGCGGAAGGGAGATATTTGACAACCTATTATCTCGAAAACTTTGCACCTGGCACTCTGTTTTTATTAGCTTAGCAAAATAAAAATAAAATCTACTGAAAATCCACGTAAAGAAATTTATACACTCCTTAATAAATGTTGCGAATGAAACGACTTTGAATTCCGATTTATGTAAATAAATAATTGCCTATTCACAAATCCCATATACATTATCTACATTCAAATGCAATTTTAAAGCATACCGAGTTGCTGTATAGACTTTTCATATTAGAACGAATTATAGATTATTTAATTTTAAACAATATTGCTATATATTGCTTTTCTATTAAACCTTTCAAAAGTTACAAGGAATTTAATAAATAACTGCATGATATACAAAACATATAAGTTGTATAAATAACTGTAAATAATTTTAAATCAATAAAAATAATAATAATTAATTATTATTATTCTAGTTATTATTATTACGCGACTCACAGATTGACATTTGCTGGTTTTGAACAAAAATACAAAATGGCGTAAACTGTCAAACGAGCTGTCAAATGTCAATAGAGGTTAATATTTACATTTTGAGTGTTTTTTGAATTAAAAAACAACTAAAATAGATTCTTAAGGTGTTGTAAATACTATATAATTAATATTAGACGTGCGTTATAAAAATTTAATCCATTTAAATAAAATTTAAATGTGTAAACTGATTTTTGTGTTTTGTAGGTTAGGATTGCAAAATCACTATTTGTACTTAAAAAACGCTGTAAAAAGTTTTCAAGACGTTGTATACATCATTCTATAAGTATTAGGTATGTATTCAACAAATTTGTATGCATTTTAGTCAGATGTAATCAGATATTTTTACCTTGTAGGTTAGGTTTGCAAAATAGGCTTCACACATTTATCTAGTACTAGTATGTTATATATCTTACAAGCACAATGTTAACTTCATTTATCTTACCTTCAAAACTTGACACATTGTCCCAAAAAATAGTCCTATTCAACTCCACCTTCTCAATACTATGTTACACATTCCTGTACTTTATTCTGCAATATTCAGAATACAATATATATACTTTAGGGTCCTCCAAATCTTGGCCCATAATCTTTTTCATATTCATCCAAGAAAGTATAAAAACTATCTATAAACATATACAAGGTGATACCAGTCGTGACTTTAAGTTACCCAAAGGCAGCAGAAAGGTTACGTCCAGACGATTCAGGGTTAAAGACTTATTTTTTGCTTCTGTTTTGTTGTTGGTGATGTATGTAAGTTTTTGTGCCTTGTGTGTGTTACTGGGGGCACCCTTTTTGACTAAACATGAAGAAACATTGTGGTTTTCTTTGTTGCTGGTGATTCTTGGAGTTTTTTATATGATTTCCACGCTTGGATGTGAAGGGACTTTGAATATACTCTTTGGGGGCAAACAAATATTCAGCGATGGGTAAGATATAAACTACATTTTGCATTACTTACAATACATTGATGTATTTGTTTTAGTATGTCCGAGTACCATAGACAAAGAGTCTTCCTGACTCTTGCAGGAGCCTGGTGTGGCACGTTTGCAGTTCCCTTGGACTGGGATAGGGCTTGGCAAAAGTATCCGATAACTGTTTGTTTAGGAGCCCTTGTTGGAAACTTTGCAAACGATGTGTTTAGTTTAATCAGCATTGTTTATCCCGCTTGTAAAGGATTTTATGCTAAGAAATGGAAGAAAGTTAAATAAATAAATAAATATAATATATATATATATATATATATATATATATATATATATATATTGTAAATTGATACCAAAAAGTATTTTCAATAAGTTAGTACAATAATTTAAGTAATATATTAATTTGTATAAATATAATATATAAATATAGTCAATTTTGTAGATGAAGTATTGTTTTTGCTATTTACTACTTTAATTATGTTTTCAGAGTATACTGAGTTGTTGTAGGGTCTTGTGTTGTTAGACAATGTTGTTTATTATTTAATTTTGCACAAATTTCCCGAAGACACCTTTTAAATATTGCAAATCCTTTAAAAGTTATAAATTATATAACAAATGTCCATTTGCCTGTTTTCTTGATAAATTGTTCTCTGCAAGTAATTTATTTTCTAAACTGTTTTATATTATTTATATTAATTTATAAGTATACCGAGTTGTTGTAGGGTCTTGTATTGTTAGACAATATTGTTGATTATTTATTTTTGCAAAAATTTCACAAAGACACCTTTTAAATTCTGTAAATATCTTAAAAGTTAATTAATTAATTAAATTATGTAACAAATAAATGACCATTTGCCTGTTTTCTTAAATAATTGTTCTCAGTAAGTAATTTATTTTCTAAAATGTTTTATAAGTATACCGAGTTGTTGTAGAGTCTTGTGTTGTTAGACAATGTTGTTTATTATTTAATTTTGCACAAATTTGCCAAAGAAACCATTTAAATATTGCAAATATTTTAAAAGTTATAAATTATTTAACAAATGCCCATTTGCCTGGTTTCTTAAACAATTGTTCTCCATAAGTGTTTGTAATTGTTCTCCATAAATGTTTTAAAAGCATATTGAGTTGTTGTAGGGTTTTGTATTGTTAGACAATGTTGTCTATTATTTAATTTTGCACAAATTTCCCAAAGACACTATTTAAATATTGCCAATATTTTAAAAGTTATAAATTATTTAACAAATAAATGTCCATTTGCCTATTTTCTTGTATAATTGTTCTCAATAAGTAATTTATTTTCTAAAATGTTTTATAAGTATACCGAGTTGTTGTAGGGTCTTGTGTTGTTAGACAATGTTGTTTATTATTAAATTTTGCACAAATTTATCGAAGTCACCTTTTAAATATTGGAAATATTCCGAAAGTTATAAATCATTTAACAAATAAATGTAGTTTTGCTCATTTTCTTGATAAATTGTTCCCGTTTAGTAATTTTCTTTTCTAAAATGTTTTATAAGTATGTTGAGTTGTTGTAGGGTCTTGTATTGTTAGACAATATTGTTGATTGTTTAATTTTGCACAAATTTCCTAAAGGCACCTTTTAAATATTGAAAATAATTTTTTAAAAGTTATAAATTCATCTAAAAATGAATAATAAATTCGGTAATAAATTGAAAAATATATTTTTTACGTTAGCTTTACCATCAGTGTTATTAATATTCTTCTAAAAATTCATAAATGCAAAATTCTTCTTCAAGAGTCTTCAAGATTCTTTGTTCATTTCATTTTTGAGTTGACTCAATTTAGTGAGACAATTGTCCCTCCAAATTCTTCGTTTTTCCAACTGATCAAGGGGGCACATCTCTTCCAACTGTCTTGCAACTTCTAGGGCTTGGGGCCCCTCCATTTTTGGAGTTGGACCCATAGTTTCACTAACCTAGAACCAAAATATATATTTGTAAACCTATATTTTATTATTAACTTTATTATATAAATTTTGTATTGAAATTGTTTTAGTTTTAAATTATTAAAAACGTATTTTTATAAAAAGTCAAGTGTAAAACAAGCTTTACAGCGCTAAAGCCGGCATCACACTCTACCTGCGTCATGTAAAGTCATAATCAACCGTCATTAACAAAATGTCGAGTGATGATACGGCCTTAAGCTAAAGCTTGTAACACACTATGCAAATTAAATAAAATTTTATTTTATTTTTAAAAAGTGGTATTTTCGTAATGGTAGAGAAAATCTTATTCAAAAAATGTTATATGCAATCACTATGCAGTTTTGATAAAATAATTTTATTTTTAAAAAGTGTACTTATATACTAGCTGGTCCGGCAAACGTTGTTTAGTCATAAAAATATTTCTAGAACACTTTTATTATATAGTATAGTATATATGTGTGGTTTAACCACTGCAACAAATGCTTCATATAAATATTTCTGGTATATATTAATAGTCATTGCAAGTGCCAGCTTAATCTGAAGCTGTTTTTATTTATATTAAATTGTCTCATTTTGATCCATTATTATTAAATCATTCAATAACATAAGACCCTATAACAACTCGATATACTTATAAAACATTTTAGAAAATACATTACTTACGAAGACCAAATATGCAAGAAAACAGGCAAATGGACATTTATTTGTTAAATAATTTATAACTTTCGGAATATTTGCAATATTTAAAAGGTGTCTTTGGGGAAGTTGTGCAGAAATAAATAATAAACAATATTGTCTAACAACACAAGACCCTACAACAACTCGGTATACTCTGAAAACATAAAGTAGTAAATAGCAAAAACGATACTTCATCTACAAAATTGACTATTTTTATATATTATATTTATACAAAATAATATATTACTTAAATTATTATACTAACCTATTGAAAATACTTTTAGGTATCAATTTACAATATATATATATATATATATATATATATATATATATATTAGGGTGGTCTTTAACAAGGACATTTTCGAATTTCTTTGCTCCCAAGGATGCAAATTCTTCCAAATAAATAAATGAATCTCTAATAGTATTAGCTCTTAATATAAACATTTAGATAGAGCGCACGCCAATTGAAAGTTTCTTATATTTATTATTAACATACGTCATTAAGTAAATTTTTGCGCCATCTGTACGTGAACTCATATATGACACATAAGAATGTTCATAAACCACTTAAACTCTAATTAAATTCTATTCATCATGGAATCAAGATTAATTTTGCAGCAGAATATTTATTTAATTGGTGATGTTGAAACTCAAATTATCATCTTGATTCCATGATAAATAAATATTATAGAACAGCCTACATGGATTTAATTAGAGTATTAAATTAGCGATTGATCTTTTCTGAATTTCTGGTATTCTTACTAAATAAATAATGTTTTTCTACTTACTGCATAAATTGTCTTGGAATATCTATCGCAGTAGCTTTTCATCCCCTCAGCATTCAAATGGGCTGTTTCCAAAGCCCCCAAAAAGGCATAACGCATCCCTAAACCTTCAGACATGACTTTATCGATATCCTTGACGTCCAGGACTTTCTGTTCAACCAATCTCCAGACTTCATTTAAAATAGCATACCTAAAAACCACAAAAAAACAATTAAGGATCAAGATTCACTTCTAATTTATCTCTAACTAGATGACCCGACAGACGCTGTCCTGTACCAATGTCTACAACTTTTTAATATAATATACTAATATTCACCGTTTACCTAAAAATAATAATTATTGTTTTTTAAATTACTCTTTACGCCGAAATGTATATACATTTATAATATGAGCGATGGTAAATGTAGAACTGCTTTAAATAAAATGATGAGTCTCAATTCCCACAACTATATTCGAAATTGAAGTCTTTTAAACGGTATAAAATAACCATAAGCAAAACATTACACTGATACTTCATGTTGAATTAAATTAATTTAATTTTTTATTATTTAAGACATCCAAAATTGCATCCTAAACTTCTAATTGATATCGTGAGGGTCGAATTGTATGTATTCATCTTTACTTTCCCATTTGTTGTTATAAAATGAAATTTTTACGAATTTTAAAAATATTGTGAAAAGATTTGTAAAAGATGCAAAGAAATTACATATTGAAAAAAAAAACCTTTATTGAAAATTTAATATTCGAATTTTGTGTTGGCGCCCCCTAAGGCGTGCGCTCGTATTTTTCGCATGCATCGCATTAAAGGTAGGACCGGCCCTGATTAATACTTAATTTCATATTTCAAGTGAATTAATTTGTCATATCCTGTTCATAAATGTATCATTCAATCTGCCATACATATATTGTATTTTATATTATTTTAATTTCTGGCATATTTCAGCTGCTTTTTGGTAATAATAATATAGACATTTTATTTTTCGTATTCATAATCATAAATTCATTATACATATTCTAATATTGTCTAGGTTCATAAGTAAATTGAAATTTTTGGAAGATGATAGATTTCATTTGTTTTCAATGCAAACAATGATATGTCGTTTTTTGCTATTTTTTCCATTTATTTCTACAATTTTGCATACATCCCAGTGCTCTATAATCACATACATCCTAGAATATTCCCTTAACAAACTTCAGAAATATTTATCAAAATCCGAATAATCGTTTAGGAGGAGTATACAGTAAGTGCTTGTAAATTAATATGAACTTTATATAATAGCAATAAAGCTCAAATTGATTGATTTTCGTTAAATCGTTAAACGTTTGTATGTAAAAAAGAAAAGGGCTGTTTTTAGTGTTTTCCCGGCAATTATTCGATTTTTTCTCGTCGTAAGAACCATTCTTGGACTTCAACGAACATTTTAAAAAAAGAATTAGCCAAATTGGTCCAGGAGTTATGCGCTTACCAACACATTTTGCGATTCATTTTTATATATATATAAGATTTACCAATTGGACGTACTGAATTCTATTCAAGGCGAATCCCTCGATTTCTCTGGTCAGGGAAACAGGAGCCTGACCAATTTCTTCCATCAATTCTCTGGTTTTGGCAGCAAATTCAGGTTTTGTCCAGGGTGCTGGTACTATTTCAACCAGGGGAACGTAGTATGGTGGATTTACTGGATGAGACACCAAAACCTGGGAAAAAGGCAAAAATTTGCACTAATCTAGGAACAACTGGCGATATTTAACTTCCCGAATGATTACAAATTATAAAATAGATTAATGCACCAAATTTTTAAATATATTTTAAAAGTCATTTCAATTGCCATTTTGTAGTATACCGAATTGATGTAGGTTAAACAATATTGTTAACCATTCAATTTTAAACAAATTTCTCAAATACAAAAGTTACTTTAGACAAATGCTCTAGAAGATATAAATAATTTTATAAATAAAGGCACCTTAGGTACAGCGAGAATATATTTAATTTCTTATTATCTCTGAGTTGTTGTAGAGTCCTACAATGTTAGACAATCTTGTTCATTATTTAATTTTGTGCAAATTTGCCAAACACACTAGTTAGTTTTTAAAAATAGTTTAAAAGTTACAAGTGATATAATAAATAAATGCGTAAAATTGGCGCTGACTAATCGTGACTTCCCACAAAGTTTTTTTATCATTTCATCATTAATATTGATAAGGTAATTCTTAGATAATTTAATTATCCATATTGGATTAGTTAATGATATTTTACCTATAATTATAAATAAATATATGTATATATACAATTAATTATGATAATTAGATAATCAAATATGATATGGCATCGTATTCATTATCTATTTCATAATTCTTAATTTTTTTATCTACTGATTAAAAAAAAAACACATATTTGTTTTGGAGTTGCTAAATTTATATCTATTTTCTAATAATACTAAATTTCGGTACTAATTGAGATAATTGTAGTATTTGAATTTCGAATGTATATTTTATTATAGAGACATTTTTCTATGTTTCACCCTTTTTTTATTAGCTTAGCAGAAACTAGATAAAATTTACTACATTTACAAAACTGTTATATACACTCCAATAAAATAGTTTGCCAATAAAATAGTTACTCCAAAAAACTAGCCGGACCAGCTAGTATATACTAATACTAATACTTTTTAAATTTTAAACATTTTAAAAGTAGGATAAAATTTTATTTAATTCGCATAGTGTGTTACACGCTTTAGCCTAAGGCCGTATCAACACTTGACATTTTGAATATGACGTTTGATTATGACTTTACATGGCGGCGGTAGAGTGTGATGTCGGCTTTAGCGCTGTAAAGCTTGTTTTACACTTGACTTTACACAAATACTATTTTTTTGTAATTTTGTCTAATTACAAAATATTACTTAAAATCGCCAGAAAAATTTTGCTAAATTGGTTCAAATTTTGTCCTAGTCTAACCGGATAGTATTATCTAAATCATCATAACAATGTTGCTAAATTTTGTTCTGATCTAGAAAAATTTGGTGCATCAATCTATTTGAAAATTTGCAATTTTTAAATTATAAATAGAAACTAAATAGTGTCTTCGGATAATTTGTGTAAAATTACATAATAAACAACATTGTCTAATATCATAATGACCTAGGACAACTCGGTATACTCTAAAATTAATAACAATAGAAATTAACGTACTAATTTAGCTGGGGTGCAACTATTCAAGAAAAAAAATCATAACTCATAAAGTAATTGATCAATTTAAATAATCTTCTAGAAGAAAAATATACAAAATAAAATAATTTAAAAAGTAGTGGTATATACTAGCTGGCCCGGCTAGTATTAAGTCTTTTATTACCTGTGATCTGTGTTTCAGGTTTTCGCTGAACAATGATGGCATAAAAGTGCTGGTTGATGATGAAATTATGGTGTTGTCTCCAACGACTTCATCAAGTTCTTGGTATAATTTTTTTTTAAGATCCAGGTTTTCAGGAATGCATTCCTGGACGAAAAAGGCGCCCTTGACGGCTTCTGCTAAACTGGAGGAACCTAAAGACAAGAGGAAATGATTCAGATTTACTTGAAACGTCGAGGTAAGATACTTTATCTTAATTAGAGATAACATGGACTTTTTGATGATAAATCAAATGTATAATTTATTTCTATCTACTTACCAGAAACGCAGGAAAATTGCTGTTTTGCAGTCAATTTTCCTCTCAACAAATTTGCTGCTTCTAATCTTTTTAATTCTCCTTCAATATAATTTAAAGCGTCAAAAATCCTGGCGTCATCTATGTCGAAAAGCGTCACTTTGTAGCCTTGAGCAGCAAATAACATACTCCAGGATCTTCCTATTAGACCACTGCAAAAAATTAAAGTTTTAAGTATACCGAGTTGTTGTAGGGTGAAATGATGTTAGACAAGGTTGTAGATAATTTAATTTTAAACAAATTTGGTGAAGGAATCATTTAAATTGATCAAATGGTTTTGAAGTTATGGTAAATATGCTAAAGTAATGCACTTTACCAACAAAACATTATAGTATTTGATATTGATATTGATTTTAAAGTATACCGAGTTGTTTTAGAGTATTATTTTATTAGACAATATTATAGATTATTTAATTTTGAACAAATCTGCCAAATATTCTATATACTTTACTCAAATATTTCAAAAGATACAAAATTTATAATATACATGCGTTTTTTACCACCAAACATATATGTTTGTAAAAATATGATAGTCATTTTCTAAATTCATTTATGGGTATACCGAGTTGTTGTACAGACTTATAATGTTAGACAATATTGTTTATTATTAATTTTTGCACAAATCTGCCAAATATTCTATATACTTTACTCAAATATTTCAAAAGAATATGCAATGAATAATTGTCCTTGGCCACTAGTCATATTTTTGTAAAAAAATATTGTCAGTTTGTAAATTGATTTTTGGGTATACCGAGTTGTTATAGAGACTTATAATGTTAGACAATATTTTAAACAATTTAATTTTGAACAAATCTGCCAAATATTTTATATACCCTACTCAAATATTTCATTACTAAAATAATATTTTTCCCACAGATTTACATTCGCTGAAAACTCAAAGGTGAACCAACTCTACATCCACACGTCAAACTTTTACTCCCAAATTTGATCACAAAAATACAAAAAATAAAAGCATTTTCCAAAATTTTTTCTTTACCTTCCAATAATTCCAATCTTTTCCTTTCGTTCTGCCATTTTTTTCACAAAATTTGAATAATATTTCAATATTAAAAAAATCAAAAACAAAATGTACTACACTCGAGAGATAAAGAGACTTTTGTATATACGAACAGTGGCGGCCATTGGTATCGACATAGATATAAAAACAGGGGCGTACTTGGGGAAAAATTAGAAAAATTAATTAAAAAAGTAGTGCAAAAATTGGGTAATATATATATATATATATATATATATATATGAGTGATTTGTGAAAAAAATGTTTCCCGGTTTTATCAAAATTTATTCGGAATTTAATTAACAATGTTCAGTCATCTGAGCTAAAATAAAATGCCTCGTTATTATATAATAAGGTTGTCAAATATCTCCCTTCAGGCTTTTTGTATACAATCAAGAGCAAAAAAGCGGAAGGGAGATATTTGACAACCTAATATTTTTATGTTTAATATTAATTTTAAAATATACCGAGTTGTTGTAGAGACTTTTGATGTTAGACAATATTGTAGATAATTTAATTTTAAACAAATTTCTTTAAGACATCATTCATGTCAAATTAATAGTTTAGTTAGGTTTTATGAATTTTATAACAAAAAAATTAATTTTATCGCACCCAGATTAATTTTGTATTTTTAAAGTCAATTTTAAAGTATACTATATTTATAAGTAATATTATATTTTAATTTACTTAATACCAGTTCGACCCTGCTTATTATTTACTGGAGGCTTTGAAGATTTTATCGTGATAATTATATTTGATATATAATTGTAATCAGAACGTCATCTGGTTTGTTTGCTTTGTTTCCATATATTTATATATATATATATATATATATATATATATATAGGGCCGGTCCTGCCTTGCATGCGATGCATGCAAAAAATGCGGGCGCACGCCTTAGGGGGCGCAAAATCGAGTTTCCGAAATTAAATTTATAATATACTATTTACATTTTTTATTACTTATATAAAATTTAGAATACTTAATAAATTATAATAAACGATTTAACTTAACTGAAATGCGGAGACATGAAAAGCATATTTATTAACTTCCCGAAGGAGAAGTTTATGTTTTCATCAAAAAATCCGATTCGCTAATTTTATGTTTTCTCGACGTTTCAAGCCATTCTGAATCGAATGAGACCAAATTTGGAAAAAGTATATGTGTGTGTGTGTGTGTGTGTGTGTGTGAACAGATTTTTTGCCGTAAATCGACGTTTTCTCCAAAACGGTTGGACCGATTTCAAAAATTTAAAAGCCATTCGATGTATCTCGATGAGGACTATCGTTTCTGAGTTTTGTGCGGCGATCGGCCGGGCCGTTTCTTTGTAAATTGCAGAAAAGTGAAAAAATTTTCGTTCACGTTTTAGCCCGCAATTCTGAATCGATTTCGAAAATTCAAAAACCATTCGATAGATATTGGTTGGGAATCGTGCTGATTAGTTTTTGGTAAAGATCGGCCGGGCCGTTTTCTTGTAATAACGTTTTTTTAAAAAAAAATTCGACGATTTTTATGATTTTTTTTTGACGGTAGATACCATAGTTTTCTAGGTCATACTAAAATATTACGGCCCTACGACAACTCGTTTAGCTTTAAAAATTCGTCAAAGTTTGCAAAAATTGGTAGTTTTTTTGACATTTGTCAAAATTAGACATTTGATCGACGTTTTCTCAAAAGCGCCTGAACCGATTTCAGAAACTTAAAAGCCATTTGATGTATTTCGGTGAGGACTACCGCTTGTCAGTTTTGTGCGACGATCTGCCAAGCCGTTTCTTTGTAATTTGAAAAAAAGTGGTAAACTTTTCGTCCACATTTAAGCTCATCCTACCGAACCGATTTTAAAAAAACAAAAACTGTTCGAAAGATATTAGTTGGGAATGATACTGATCAGTTTTAGGTGAAAATCTACCGAGCCGTTTTCTTGTAATTAACTGTTGAAAAAAAATTTAAGCCGATTTTTATGGAATTTTTTTTAGCTATATATACCATGGCCTTATAGAACTTACTGAAATATTACGGCCTTACGACAAATAGTTTGATTTTAAAAATTCATCAAAGTTTGAGAAAATGAGTAGCTCTTTTGACATTTGTTTAAATTAAAATTAGACTATTTACTTGGTATAATGATAGAGTACTTGGTCTTGAACATAATAAACCAGTCCTGAAAACTGGTTCAATTATAAAAATTATTGATTTTTGAAAATTTGCTTTTAGAAAATACTCCGAGTCAAAGTGTTCGTTCGTTTTCAATTATGTGTAATAAATCCACTCGGAATACTTTTAATGACTCATAAATTAATTTATTTTTTATCGATTAAGTTGATTATTTAAATATATCGAGAAGTTCATGTAACTTGCCTCAAGGCTAAATACCAAACCAACTAGTTTTGCAATGTGATATCAGTAGAAACAATTAACCGATTAATAACTGTGGAAATTAGTAAATAACCGCTCTGTTTATTGCTTAATCTACTTATTCAATTTTTTCTTTGTTTGAAATTACCGTGGAATCGAAAAAGAAATTATCTAGTGTTCAATCCCATAAGCGCAAACCTGCAAAATATGAGATTAATTAATGGGCATTATTGACGAAAAATTGCGAGCTGATTTAGTTGAAACAGAACTTGTTAAAAAATATAAACAAATTATAATCGTGATAATGAAAAATAGGGAGTCAGTGCTTAGAAAATGGCATGTTTATTCCGAAAAATTGAATTGTAACTTTCATTTTTGTTGCAAATATTTCGCATCTGATGAACTTTGAAAGACATGCGTGGTTAGGGTTATGGAAATGAGACAAATATGAAAAATTAAAGCGAAATTTTTTTTGGAACGAAAATCTTAAGGCTTTTTTTATACCTAGTGGTGTCCATACTCTAAATTTAATAATTATTAACTATGCACTAATAATGTATATAAAACATAATTAGTTTTTTTTAAATAGTTTAAGGAATGTGTAATTTCTTTGCGTTTTTACTGATATTTAAACAATACTACTAAAATACGTTAAAAATTTAACTTTTAAACAACAATCTGATTCTGTGAATATGACGGGAATGCAAGGATGAATACAGGTCGGCTCTTACGATATAAATAAAGAGAAGTTTACGACGTAATTTTGGATATTGTAAATAATCAAAAATTAAATTAAATTAAAATTTAAAAAATCCAACACGAAATACAAGTGTTATGATTGAAAATGAAAAGCTAGTTTTTTTAGCTCCCTTGGCATGATTTGCTCAATAGAATAAATCGCACAATAAATAATTAAAATGTTTCAAAACCCAAATATTAATATTGCACATACGTTAAAAATAATTGAAAATTTAAAAATATTCCATTATAATCAACCCGCGAATCGCTTCGATTTTCTAAATAAATTTAAAATCAATGTATAAACGCGTATAAACGCTTCTATATTATATCTAATTTTTTGTGTACTAAATTCAGAATAATTAAAAATTATTTTTGAAAAAATATGTAATTATTTATATAATTTTAATGACAAACTGTTAAAACAGTTAAAATTAATAGGAGGGGGGGGGGGGGGCGCTAGAAAAAATGTTGCATGCGGGCGCTAAGGATCCCAGGACCGGCCCTGTATATATATATATATATATATATATATACTAGCTAACCCGGCAAACGTTGTTTTGCCATAAAAACAACATAAGAATATGCATAAATTGATAAAAAATTAATAAAAGAGTCAAAAATCAAATATTTAATAGATTTGGACTCTGATCCTTTGACAAATATTTAAAAACTTGTTATAATTTTCAAAATTATTTGATATTTCATACTTCAAAAATTAATTCACTCGCATCATAGTTTTTTGTTTATTATACCTTTTCATGTCATATATGTCAAAAAAAATTTCTTTCAAATATTATTTATTTGTTAATAAATTAATAATTATTTTAAGTCATCAATGAATAATTATATAATTGTTAAAATCGTAAGTTTGGCTAAATCAACACAGGAATATTGTGGAAATAAATATTTTTTTACATAAAGATCTGATATTTGACATTGAAATTAATTATAACTGTCAAAATATTTTGTTTTCGGTCGTAATTTAATATAATATGATATAATATAATGAAATTTACAAACAAAATTTTTATTTTATTATTTTATAAATTAAGATAAAAGGTGAATTAATAAATAAATGAAATCATAAATAAATTTACAAACACATTAAATAATTAAATGTAAAGTAATATATATATATATATATATATATATATATATATATATATATATATATATATACTAGCAAACCCGACGAACTCCGTTTCGCCACCGGATGGTTTCGTGAGGAAGATGAAGAAATTTTTTGTTTGTTTTATATTTGAAAAGGAAAAATTGGATTTTATTATACAACAGTAATGAATTTATTTTGATTACAAAAATAAAGTGTTTTTTAGTTGAACTTCTCTAAGTAAATGAAAGTGAATCCGCAAATTATCCGTTTCATTGAAGTGCTCTTTGGTAAACCACATTTTTTGTTTTCTGGTCTGACGTTAACACAAACAAAGCGGATGGTTTTTCAACTCGTGAACAGGCAACGTATAACTGCTCATGTGAAAAACAATGATTTTCTAAATAATCTATTTGAAATTTATCCCGCAAACACTAAGCAATTGGCCTTGCAACTTGTTATTGCGAACGCAAGGCGAACTGGAAATTGCAATCGTTTGAAGTCAAACGGAAGACCAGTCAGAATCATTGGTATGTCACCAAATCGCCAGCAATTTTTGAATGAATGGTGAAATTCAGTGCGTGCACATCATTATTCTTTGCGGCAAGAATTGCTCGTTGACTTAACCAAGCATAATTCTGATAATTCTCACTAATGTTATTACTCGAATTTTTAACTACGGTGCGTGAAGTTCCAGCAGCTTGCATTAAGGCACGATGCCATGCATTACTATAAACCTTGCGGAGCCCGAGACCTTTCCAACGAATGCAAAATTGTCGAAATCGGTTCGTGCGTTCTGGAGTTATTTCGTCAGGA